AATCAATGTAGGGCGTAGTGGAAGCAGCAGCCGCCGCGGGCTGAACGTGGGGAATTACCACTCCGGGCTGCACAAAAGCCTGTGGATAGACATAGTGAGCAGGTATCCTGTTGAAAGATGGGAGAGGGAGTTAGAGTTGGTACGCGAGTCAGCGCCTAAGCGTCACATCCATACCTCGAACTAAAACAAACTCAATTTAGTTGTTGTTATGTGCATAGGGTTGCCACAATAACTAGGCTCAGTGGACCAATTGTCAGTTCACTGGCCCGAACAGATGCATCGCTCCAAAGCACAGCACTATAGCCAAGTTCAATCGGAGTGTTTCATGTCGCTTGAGGATATTATGTTTAATGCCATTAAAATCTTTAGAAGGACCAGGATTACTAATGTCAGTCTTGAGACAACTCTAAAGGAGTAAGCTTGATTATTCCATCTGGAAAATTGCGGCATTTGTTTTTTGAATCACCTGTAAGTCATTTTTATTACCCTGCTTCTCACTTAACTACTCGACTCTTAGTAAAATTATTTCCTGCAATACTTTTATTATTAGTAACTGAGCAGTTTGACAGCATCACTGTAACGAGTTTGACAATAGCCAATAAGGCAACGAAATGGTTGAGCCCTGAATTTATGTAAAGTCTTCTGGGGGAGGCGAGGGGGAAAAAAATGTGGCAATCCTACTTCAGTTGCTATGCAGACTCAGCACACATTAATTTCTCTGCAACCTCAGTCACCCTTATTAAAAATAAGAAAAAAACCAACACAGGCGACAAAGGAGTTTAAATAAAGTTCACAAGTGTGGTAAACACAGCAAGAATCACACTTTCCAAACGAATGATAGTGCAGCTCACTCCGTCACAAGAGGCCATTGAGGGGAAGCTACATAAGATGCTATTAAAATCCATAACAGTGACTCCTAAGTACATGTGCATCACACTTCTATAAAAGTTTGTAAGGACACAAGGGTCAAACCTGTTTGATTATCAGGCCACTGATGTCCTGTTTTGTGCCAGCTTGTTTATTTCTATGCAAGACATACAGCATAGAGTTTTTTGGGAGGTGGGCATAGGATTAAGTCTAAATAGATCAAGTGCTTAACAAAAGCAAAAAACCAAATTTACAGCTTAAGAAATAACCATTCCAAACTGATCAGTACACACTTTCCCATATCCTCCAAGTCACAAAACTTGCTTCCTTGGCTTCTTTACCTAGCCCTTCAGTTTTGAAAACTGGTCATGTCATTGTCTTAGCACACAAGTGTACATACAAGTTCATCTCACAGTTGTATTTTATCATGTAATACGATTTTAAAAAATAGTATACTCAATATAATTGTCATTTTACATTCATAACCCTGTCTTGCATCTGGATTTCCACAGGGAAGTCCTTCATATATGCAGCTCCTTTCCAGTCAGTGAATCTTTATAAATCCATGAAAAACTGCTCATGCAGATTTACTACTACTTCATACTGAACTTTACAGACAACTCTGCAGACTGCACCAACCTATTAGCGCGCTGTAAGCACAGATGCAAATTGCAGCAGTAAAAACTGTCCTCTTTTCTCCAAATTCAAGATTTAATGGAAAAGGTGTTTTTTTTGTTTGTTTCACTTTTAAAAATAACTTCAAGATTTACTTAAGTGGTCAACAAGGAAATATTTCAATCAGAAGGGACACTGTCAACTAGATTCATAGCAAAACATAGTTTAAAATAAATGATAGTCAGGCTTTAGAACAGCCTAGTTTTTAAGAAAAAAAGAGCTCAGTTGATTGAATAGGAACATTAACAGAAAGAAATGTTCAGTTGCCGTGTTTAAGACATGAACACCACAATCATAAAAACCCAACAAGTCAATGAAATTCATTTCCTACTGTGTGAAGGGAGAAATGGGGGGGGGGGAAAGAGGGACAAATAGGGGTTGGGAAGGGAAAGAAAACATAAACCAAAACCGTAAGTTGGGTTTTTAACACTCACCTAATTTATGAAGTGATTAGCCAGAAGTGCATTTGAAGCATACCTAAGCTGGCTCTGGGCATTTAAATACACATCATTACCCGAGCTCTCCATGCAAAATGGATGAGCATAAACAAGCATTTTGGAGTGCTCACCGATCGAGTACAATCCTAATAAATACAACATCACGTTTTTGAAGTATTAAGGAAAGAAGTACAAAACCAAATTTGAAGTCACCGAGAGCCTCTCCGGCATTGTAACAGAGCCCATGTACCCCCACATCAAAGGAATCTTTACCTCGAGCATTTATGAGCGAGAGGAGCTCTAACAGAAGAGACACTAAGCAGGCTTATCTAGCTGCTTGTCTTGACTTGGACTGGTGTCACTACGGCTTTCTGAAGACACCAGGACACTCGGTCATCTCCTTGAACAAGACAGAAGGATACATGTGCTCCCACTTCAACTCTTGTGACTTGTTTGATTTAAGCCAAGAAGCTAACAGGTGGTGAAGTTATGAAATGCGATCTGTTTGCCACATCTCACCCTACAATAAACACAACCCCTGTGCAGGCTCCTCACCGCCATGCCATTTCACACATGATGACTGACAGCATAAGCTGCAGTGGGGCTATTTTTGATCATCTGTCATGCTACAACTGTTTTGAGTCGAGTAAAATGGCTTTATATGGCCAAAGTACATTTCTACCTACTGCAGAGGCCAGCACATGGAGATCTCAGCCGTTCAGAACCCAGCTGCTTTTCATGCTCTGCCAGGTCAAAAGCTGAAAAAGCAGTTCCCAGTTACGCTGGATATCCTTAGTATCCTTAATTTTAAATAAAAGCTGCTGCTTTACTTTTGAGAGTAAGAGTGTGAGAATTATACATGGTTTGAGCTTTCTTTCCTGGCAGTAGTTTTTATTTTGGAACATATATTTGGAACTGTTTTACACTTTTGCAATAAAGGAAAAGGGAAGCCCCACTGAACTTCAGCAGTACCCGTACCTTTGGGATACTGAAAACTGAATGACACACACTCCTGCCATGTGCCTCAAGCCATCCATTGTTGTTATAACAGAAGATTTGCATTTAACTAAGACCTCAAAAATAATCCTCTCAGCAGTAATGAAGTGAAGGCTAATTGTTTCAAAGAAAAGAACGGACTTTCTGGACTAATGCAGAGAGCTCTGGCATATGGAAATTCAGCAGTAGTAGCACATCATTGACCCTCAACATTAAATTCTTGTGAAAGTAGATATTTAACTTGGAACGAAATGTTTTGCTTTGGTCCTTGCATGGCATCCTCTGGTTTTGTAAGCATAATTAAAGAGCAGATGTTCACTAATGCACAGCTTTCCTTATAGCAGAAATGGGTTATGTAAACATCAAGACATACAACACCCTTAAAATGCTTCCTTTTAAATTCGTGCCTGATACCATTAAGAGGACATCTAGCATTCTGCAGGTTAACTTCTGACTGTTCTGGCTCATTCCCTCTTTCCACATTATCCATAGTCTAGTCTTATGGAGGTCTTTTGATCATAAACTCAAGAGAGGGCTTTTCCTTCTCCCTTAAGAAAGGCAGAATTGCCTAACTCTTGGAAGATAATACCAAGCAGGTAGTATCAGCTAACAATTTGATAATGAATTTAACAATTTTGGTCTTACTAAAAACAATGGGAATGTTCTCATTTTAATCGAGGTATAAGTTTTAGACAGAAAATACAGGGAAAAAAAAAATCTCCAACAGAACAAGTCGTATCCTACACCCATACCTCTGTATAACCCCATTTTTTCCCACCAATATTACAGTAAAAATTACATAAGCAAAATGGGAAAAGCTGTCTTAGGAAGCACAGTCATCTTCCCCCTCTATAAATTCCTGTTCAATTCAGAGGTAGTATTTTAATAAACAATCCTGAAGACAGAGCTGTACAGATAACCAGTCCTGTGATCAAACAGCTTTCTACGAAACACACCAACAGTGAGACAGATGCTGAATGTAAAGAGCAGGTAGAAATGTTATTTGGTGGATGAACTGATCTCTGCAGCACTAAATAAAGAAAAATTCCCAGCATTTTAAATGCTTCATGTATTGAAGCTAATCGAGTTTCTGGCTTCCTCCACTACAATAATGTTGTACTTAATTCAGAATATTGTACTTCTGCATCTTCTCAGTAAAAGTAATGTAACATAATCCAATTATTTTCAGTTTCGTGTTTGATAGGTGGGGAACCGTATCAAAACACTGCTGACCATACCAGAATATGGCAGCACCTCCCTAATTTGCACTTGGATAGGAAAAAAAAAACCCAAACCACAAAACATTTGGAGCTTTTGTTATGGATTAGGAGAGTATTGGTAGTGAATCACCACTACGACCCATTTTACACAGCATATTAGTAACATGTACTTTTAAAAAAAGTGCAACTGCAGGGCAGGAAGAAAGGCTTTAAGGTGAGCCTGTATTTCAGTGCAATCCCTGCCACATCCTCGGAGAGGGAACTCTTCAATAAAAGCAGATTCAAGTAAGCACTGAGACAGGCCCTCTTACTGTGAAGGAATATCGTACATGAAGGTGTTCGTTCATCCTAATGAATGCTGTTCTTCATCTGAACTGCATTCTTTAGAAAAGGTACAGGTCGTTGGAAATTTTGAGGAGGAAGCAGGATTAGTAAGCATCTCCTTTGTTTGCACGTAGTGAAAGAAAAGCAAAAGCCAAGGATTAAAAATGACCAATTTCATGTATACATGACCCTGCGACCAACATTCCTTTTCTTCAGATTTATGTACATTGCATTAGAAAGAAAACCTTATTCAGCCTGCTGGAAGAATTTCCCTGTCCTAAACACGACTTACATGATCTATTGTTGGCTCTGGGTAAGGAAAGCAAGAGCGAGCCCTACATTTGCAGAGTCCTTTTAGCAAGGGATCGCCACAGGTTCTCCCTTTCTGTTGTGCTCAGCAAGTACTCAGTCTCTCCACGGCTGCTCCCCGTGCAACCCGCTGGTTCCTCTTTGCAACAAGTGCTCTTAACAGCTCTGGAGACAACGCGCTTCACCTCCTGCCCACCTTAGTGCAGGCATCATAAACTGATCCCTGCATGTACACTGTCGTCTCCTCACGCTTCAGAGAAGCTGAACAAGGTACGGTAGAGCACAATCGTAAGAAGAAAAAAATAAAAAGGTTTTCCACAACCTCCCCACGTGTCTCGGAAGAATCGACACTCTCTTTTAAAAGTATTTCAAGTTTCTAGGAAAACTTTTTGCTATGGTTTTGAGGACAGGAACTGCTTCCTACTGTTTTGACGAATCAAACTACTGAGAAGCTATTGTTGCTGAGTAACAGATCGGTACAGTACTCTAAAGCTATTCTAGGCAAATAAACAAAATACGTTTCTGACGCATTTTCCCTACTTTATTGTTAGCTTTCTCATTAATTAGCAAAATGCATTATTTTGCAATGAGTTTCTCAGTCAGTGTGCATTAGTGAAGTGACACTGTATGGAAAGTTTAAAGCAGACTTCACCTCCTCATTATATGCCTATAAGAAGCAAGAGTTAGATCTACTTAGGAATAGTACACTCAAGTACAGGAGAAATGTGCTACAGATTAAAGACAGATTGAAGAGAAAAAAAAATCTCAAATTAGAAAGCCCAAATGGACGCACATTGTTAATAAGGAGCTCCACACCCCTCCCC